GGAATTAACAGTGTGTGTGAGAAGGATGTGGCTTGTTTTAGCTGACATAGTGCTTGCTCTTCCATCACAGGGTATGCTTAAATGGCTTGTGCAACTGCTTTCTTTGGGTTGGGCCTTTTGCACCAGAAACACCAAGCATATTGTTCCTATTTTGAGGACACTTCATCTTTTCTATTGTAAAATAAATTAAATAACACTGCACCAAAATAATTTTGCTGTTCTTTCACAAAATTTAGATTATCAATATTCCAGCTGGAGGAGCTTTACTTGATTCTGTTACTCCAATGGATTTTTTCCCAGGATTAAATCTTGAAGGTTTTCCTAACAGAGACAGTACAAAATATGCTGAGCCATATGGTATTCAGACAGCTCACACTTTGTTGAGAGGCACCTTAAGATACAAAGTAAGTTGTTACTAATTATTGTTTTCCTCAAGAGGTGAATGTGGTCATTTCAAGAAAACTATGTATTTAAAAGTCAGTCTTTTATAGCTGTATACTTGCTTTTTATGAGCTATCCACTATCCAAACTGAGAGATAATTGAAAGCACTTTTCTCATGTTTTTTAATGTAGCTTTACTTGGTTTATTTAACAAGTGTTTGCTGCAAACCAGAAAAATAGCTTTACTTGTTTTCGGCAGCTGGTCAGTTAGATTGCATGGTCTGTTTCTGGTCTGTTTCTGTGTTTCTTTTTTTTTTTTCCTCTGGCTCTGTTATTTGATATCAGATCAACAGAAGATATAGACCCAAAAATAAATAAATCTGACAGGTTTGTGTGGTGTGTGTTGCTGTTGTATATTTTTGAAACTTGATCTATTCTTCTAAAGTTGATAAAAATTTGAACTTAGAGTTTGTTGCTTAGTCCTATGAAAATCATAATTTAAAAATCTTACAGAAAATTATGGTTTTCCATCAAACTGAGATTTTCATTAAGTAACTGGATATCTTGAATTTAAACAGTTTTAACATTTTCGTCAGTTAAGTAAAATGTAGAGGTAAATGTGTTTTCCTTCTGATAGACTCTTTTCCTTTCATTTGTTATGTGCACAAAGCAGAATCAAAATGTAATATTTTTTTCTTTCAGATTTCTTGTTTTATTATTTTATTGGTCAGTATACGTTAAAAAGGAATAAACCTAAAACCGTATTGAAGGTTTGAAAAAGCTTTTGTGGATGTCATGACAAGTCTATTGAGTTAAGGTTTATGTCAAGGTTTAAGTTATTGTTGTTTTGTACCTGGCTTGAGGAATGTGTATGTGCTTTCCCTCTTAATTCCTCTGTTGCAATACAACAGTATTTTTTCTTTTTTTCTTGGGAGGGAGGGAGGCTTGCTTAGCAAAAAAAAAGATGGGAGGCCACTGTGGGGGAATAAGGGTTACAAATTGCAATAGCCCTCTTCTTGTCGGTCTAGATACGATCTCTTGTTCAGAATCTAAAAATATGTGGGAGGCATCTATCTCATCATAAAGTCTTAATATGGCGGTATCTATTCTTCCATTTGGTGCCTGGTAAATTTTTTTTCTTTTGCGTAAGTGTTAGCACAAGGAAAAGCGAAAATGTCAGGGTGACAGGAAGAGTTATTATCAGTGTGCTGCAAGAATGATGATTGTGTGGTTAGTGCTGTTTTCTTAACCCCCAAAGCAGGTCCGTGACTTTGGTTTGGGGTGATGTTGGTAGGGTTGCGTGGAAGAGCTTCTCATACCTCTACCTGCGTGGGTACCTATGTGTCAGAACATAGTGCTGAGAGGGGCAGAAGTTAATGTTGGCCCTTTGCACGTGCTGCTCTGTTGCAGAGCAGAAAGCTATCTGTTCAGGGCGGAGGCTAACGTCTCCTCAAAGTCCCTTTTATAGGTTAAGTTCAGACAGCTAATGGACTCAGCTTATAAAAAGAGGTGTCAAAAGGATCTCACTGCAAGACCATGTGAGCTGATAATGTAGTGCTGGTGGAGGTAGCTCTTAATTATAAGTAGCTCTCTTTGAGGGTGCTTTATTTCCCCCATTCTGCTTGTTTACGGTGTTTCTAGTCACTTACATGTACATGTTTTCAGGTATCCAGCAGCTACGTGGGAGTGTTAACGAGATGTCAACAAAAATGAGCAGAAACCAGCTGAGACTTCTTTTTACTTTGCAGCCTTTACAGTTCCTTATAAATCCCATTCCACTGCTGTCCTGGTTGTGTCTCTGATATTCATGAAGGAAAGATACAAACATGCAGGATTCCTGTCTCTAAAATCAGTTTATCTGATGTCCATACATCACACTGGTGTAAAAGTGGGGTGAGCTGAGTTCAGCGCTGGGCTCTCTGTATTCAGTAGTTTGTTGTGGGCCAGCTGGCCGATACAGTCCTGTCTGTAACGGTGTGCTGAAGTTTGAACTAGTGCTGGCCAGCTTAGCCCTTTGATCTCATGAACCAATGCTGCTTGCCACGGAGTCATTGAAGAGGGTATTGAAAAGCAGAGAGAGGGCTGGAGAGAGGCTGGGGCTCTGTAGCAGTAACCCCATTGGCATCATGTCGGTGTGGCTGTCTTTCCAGGGAAATGGTGCTTGACACTACCATGGCTGTGTCCACCACTACCTTCAAACCAAGGAGAAATACTCACCTCAGTTTCAAGTGATTGTTGTTTTTAACCATGTTATTCTTTTATTTCAGGGATACTCCAAAACTATGGGAGGCTTTGTAAAACTAGGATTAATTAACCCAGATCCTTATCCTTTGCTAAGCTCAACCACGCCACCTCTAACCTGGGTGAGTTACTCTGATTACTCTGCCTTCTTTCCTCTGTTTTGTTAATGTTTTTTCCTTGTTGCTAGGCTTGGGGGTGCTTAACTCCCAATGGGAATCTTGTATTGCATCCTGGTCTTCTCTGCTTTTTGTTCCTGGAAATTGGGAAGATGTTCCTCAGCAGGAGTGTAATAGAGTGCTGGAACTGGTTCCCCAGAGAGACTCTGGAGTCTCTGACATTGGAGGCTTTCAAAACTCAGTTAGACAAAGCTACAGCTGACTTGAGTGCTGGTGGTACTCCTGCTTCAAGTAGGGCATTGGGCTAGATAACCCTCAGAGATCCCATACGACCTTTTTCTTAAATTTCCTGTCAGTCAGAATCCAAACCCTCCTTGAGTTTGCAGTGTCCATATTGGTACTGACCCACGATCTTCAGTGTAAAAGTACTTTTCAGGGCATCAAGATGTAAGAGATCATGCCTAAATGAGTATATTAAAATATTTTTTTCTGTTAAAACTCTGTACAAGCGTTTTTTGTCTTCTGTTATGCTGCTTTTCTGTCTTGCTTACTGGTGCCTCACTTCATCAGTCGAGGTATGACTCCTATAATGTGCTGCTGTTACATTTGACAACATTTTAGTTGTCTCTGTGGGTGAAGCAAGGCATTTCATATTTCTGTATGGTGTAAAGAGAGCTGAACTGACAGACAGCTTATTACTTGTTATGTCTGTTTGTCTTGTGAGAAATTTTTCTTCTGTTTTGCAAACCCCTGAGAGAGTAACCTTATTTATTACTCAGATGAACAAAATTCAGTTCTGGCTCCTGTTTCCTTCCTTGTGCTTTTATCAGCATTAATCTGGAAAAAGACACTAGGCTTATGCTGTGTGATGGTCTGAGGAGAGCAACGTATTTTTCTGATGATATCGTTATTTCAAGTTAAGAGTGTCTTAAGTGTTCTCAAAGCCAAGAAAGCACATGGTGAAGAGGCCCAGTCTTGCTTGTCTCCGAACATATGGCACGGCTCATCTTCCCAAACTCCAGGAGTTTTTGGGCTGCCATTTTTTTTTAGATTGTTTTTGTCCGCTTTCAATTTTAGGGTTGATATCTTCTAGTTTTCTTTGCAAAGACGGCTAGAATTTCCAGTCCTTCTAGCCTCAGTGAGTGAGCATACAGTGTCGTGTAATCTGTGAAAATAACTATAAACTTATTGGTCTCACTGCAAACCTTGTCTCAGCCATGTTGTTACATCTTAGTATTTTTTTCTTTATCTACTCTTGGAAGCAGAGGAGATAGCCTAAACAGACTCTGCAGTTCTTGCTTGCTTCGTATCTTGTTCATAGCTCTGTTTATTGTCCATCTCGCTGTGAATGAAGCGAGCAATAATTAGCATCTAGATAGCACAAAATGGCCTTCAGATAGGCACAAAAGTCTTCAGAAAGCTTTTTGGTGATATTCCCAGGATTGCCAGAGCCTTGTTCATCTCATCAACCTTCCTTTTGAAAGGGACATTCTCCATTTCTAGACCAGCCGAAAGATACCCTTAAGTTCCTCACTCTGGCTGTCTCCAGGTGGCTTCTCTTTCACTCTAACATCTTCCCAGTGTTCCTTGTTTATGGGGATTTCTGTGTTCTTTCTTCACTGCCAGAGGAAGGGATAAGACCAAAAAGTAGGGGGAAGCAGCTGAGGGATGGGGTACAGTGTTTTAGGAAAAGATGACCCCTATTCTCACTGCGATTAAAAATCTCAAATTATCTCACTTTTCCTGTATGTATAATCTGACTTCTCAGAAGTCCTGAATATTAACTGAGTTTAGTGGAGCAATGGGTTCTCAAAACCTTGACTGAAAAGGAGTCTTCTTTCAGGAAGCCTGACACCTTTTTTTCTTTTCTTTTAATACAGAAAGAGCTCATGTGCAAACTGGTGGGAATTAAGCCGCCGGCTGAGTACCATGTTCTTAAAGAAGCTGTGTTTAGCAAACTGGGAAAGGACAAAAATCAGCTGGAGGCAGTGGAATGGTAAAATGTTCCAGTGATTTTTAAAGGTTTTAAAATAAGAAAAAAAAGTTTGCAATTCTACCCATTTTGGTCCATGTTGAGACTGTTCAACTGGTATGCTGAGCAAGCTGGACCTGGGACTAAGCTGATGATAGGCAATGATATAAGTCTGTCTCACTTCTTCTGCCAGGCTAGGTTTATTGGGAGATGAACCAGTTCCAGCAGCAGATTCCATTGTGGGGGCTCTTGCGAAGCACATGGAGATGAAGCTGCCCTTTGGTACGTGAGAAACACTTTTTTCATGGCTTTGAGTGGAACAAATCAGTATCTCTTAGCCTTAATTGGATTAGTTTGTTCACCTTCATTAATAAACCTTCATGTTAGGATTTTTAATGTCTTGTGATGTTCTCTACTCCCCCAGTTTATTCTTTTCTTTCCCTGTTACATTTTCAGTTTTATCTTAATATTCTATCCTCATTAATAGTATCTATCTTAAGTCACTTCCCTGGTGCATGTGCTGTGTGTGCTTAGTGCCTTGCTCATCTTGATATGACTGAAATACAAGTAATGAATCGTTTGTGTACTTTTCTCGTAGGCACTGGAGAGAGAGATATGATTGTTATGAGAAATGAAATAGGTCTCAGGCATCCTTCTGGTCATTTGGAAGACAAATTTGTTGATCTGGTTGTCTATGGTGATAATAAAGGATATTCTGCGATGGCTAAAACAGTAGGGTACCCCACGGCTATTGCTGCTAAGATGGTTCTGGATGGTAAGTGGCTGTTCAGACTTCACTAATAGCATTTCAACCCTCTGTATCTTCCTGCCTGTAGAACGCAGATGGATAGGTAGTGTTTCTGAAGTGTATATATGGGGATTTTTTGTTTTTAATTTATCGAAGTTTTCCTGTCTTCTTTACAGGAATTTTTAATCTGCATGTTTGGCTGTTTCAAACACTTAATTTACTACTTAATCTATAGAGATTTTTAGTCATTTAATCTTAAATGTTTCACTGGTGTAGAGGAGAACTTTAGCATGGTAAATTACAATTGATTATGTCAGAGTGAAGCAGGATAACATATACCTGTACTGAACAAACTAGCGACTTCTGCTATTACTTTCTGGATTGATGACATTTGAGGCTTGGGGCATAGTAACTGATCATGTTGTGTATATGTGAACAGGCAGACTGCCTAGTCGTTGCCATGTTTAAGGAAATAGGGTAATTTCCCCTTGCTTGCTCTTAATCTTTAGAGCTTCATTCTTCTCCTGGCTAACTGAAATGAGCAAAAATTATGGAGTTTTTTTGATTGTTATTTAAAAAAATCAACAACCCAACTTTTGAAGTTTGAGGTGCTTTTCGCCTAACTGCAGTTTCACAGCTCTCTGAATTAAATTCAAGCTGTGTGTGCTACTACGTGTTTCAAACTTTTTTTCCTAATTCTTTGATGCAGTACTGATGCTGTGTGAGAACATAATGCTGGGGTTGATAGATCTGCATATATATCTATATATATGTGTAAAAAACATAAGAAAGAAAATTTATATAATTGCAAATTGGTATTTGCATTTGTGGTGGGTTGACCTTGGCTGGCTGCCAGATGCCCACCCAGCCACGCTCTCACTCCTCCTCCTCAACAGGATGGGGACAAAACAAGATGAAAAAGCTCATGAGTCGAGAGAAAGACAGGGAGATCACTTACCACTTACTGTCATGGGCAAAACTTGGGGAAAAATTAATTTAATTTATTGCCAATTAAAATAGGTTTGGATAGAGTGAAAGAAAGACAAATTAAAACAACACCTTCTCCCCCCCGTCCTTTTTCCCAGGCTCAAATTTGCTTCTCCATTCTTGACTCCTCAGCCTCTTCCCTCTGCCTTGAGCGGTGCAGGGGGATGGGGAATAGGGGCCAGTGTCCAGTCCATAACAGCTTCTCTCTGCTGCTCCTTCCTCCTCATGCTTTTCCCCTGCTCCAGCATGGTCTTCACCATAGACTGCAGGGGAATCTCTGCTCCGATGCCTGGAGCACCCCCGCCCCGCCTCCTTCTCTGACATTGGTGTCACAGGGTTGTTTCTCAGACTTTTTTTCTTCACTCCTCACTGCCACGCAGCATTTTCCCCTCTCTTAAATACACTTTCCCAGAGGCCCACCACTGTGGCCAAGGGGCTCAGCTGTGCCCTGTGGTGGGTGGGTTGGAGCTGTCTGTGCCCGGCACGGGGCAGCCCCGGCTGCTCCTCACAGAGGCTGCCCTGCAGCCCCCCTGTTACCAAAGCCTTGCTGAATAAACCCAGTAGAGCACTGAACACTTACCCCCCCACACCCTTTTTATTTCAGGTGAAATAGATGCCAAAGGCATGGTTATACCATTGACGAAGAATGTTTATGGACCAATACTGGAACGCGTTCGGGCAGAAGGCATTGTGTACAGTACTCGCAGCGTTATCAAACAGTAATCAGAAGCAGTGGATGGAATCGGGTTTTGGCTTTGTTTGGCTCTACACCTCCCCCCGCCCCCTTTAAGAATCTCAATTTGGACCAGCTAAAGGCAGCACCTGCCGTTTCACACACAAACAATGCCTTCCATAAAACCGGTCGCCTGACTTCGATGTAGAAACTGTAGATACCCAGATGCATGAACTGTGATACTTTCCTCTTACAACTGTTATGCTTTCACGTACATGTTTTAGCATCAATCAGATCTTTCTTTATATCTTTCCTAAAATATCTCAGGAGGGTTTGGGTTTTTTTAATTAATGCAGTTTATCTTCTAAGTGTATAGGTTTATTATTGAGGCAAATTTAAGCTGAAAAAAAATCTGTTAGTGGATTCTTTCACGATGGGAAAGTCTGGTTAATGAATTCCATTGATTAAGTTTGATTGTTCATGTGGTAAAAACAATTTATCAGAATGACAGAGATGGAAGTGATACTTAAATTTTAAGTCTTGTTGTCCCTTTCCTTTTAACAGCGTTTGTGAATGTTTTCACAATAACAATATGCAAGAAATAGTTTAGAAATTCTGCACTACTAGCAAATAAGATCCTGTTAAATCTTGAAAATATTTGAAACCTAGATCTTAATATTTTTTAAATCCCTTTCTTATGGTTGTAAACTTAAATTAATTGGAGGAGGGAGGAAGGCTTTAAAGCCTCCCCCCATACCCTTCCCGTGACAGAGTGGAAGCTGGTTGCAATATGTTGAAATACCTGCTGTTACGTGTTGCCTTGTGCTGTGAAGAGAACATGTGAGCATTTAGCTCTGTGGCTAGGAAGGACATTCTGGAACACGACAGGGTTAATGTGCTTAGAAGCTGCTCCAAATGACATGTTTACTCTTTCCACTTACACTGTGTGCCTCCTCCAGGTTGAGTACTGTTACAAAGGGAATGGACTCTCTAGTGGAAGCAGCTTTGAAATGCAGTAGGCTTAGAGGTTTAAATCACTACTTTTTGAGTTAACTTCCGTCCTTTTGCCATCGTGCTTTTGAAGCGTTCCTTTGGGAGCCTGTCCGTACTACTCAGTACAGTGTCACTTTAGACTGGTGAGCATTTGCCAGTGCCCCAGCTCATTCGGTGCTAAGTGCTGTGCTGCACAGACGTGCCAGCCCGGCTCTAGCGGCAGGTCAGCCGCATCAGCCCAGAATTGAACTTCGGCCTGAGCGCAGCTTCTCTCTGACAGAACAGCAGTCGCCTCCTTCCACTTCAGGGCTTTTGCTCAGGCATTTCTGCATCGCCTTGCAGTGCAAGCATGGCTTAGACTTCACCAGTTAGGTCTGTGAGCTGTAATGCAGTGGGCAGATACTATTTGCACTGGTACTTGTGCAACTGCCTGGAGCTCCCCTTTTCTAAAGCTGAATACTGATGCTGGAAGCTGTCTGCTTTCAACTTTGCTCACAAGCGCACTTTGCTGATAAACGCACAGCCTTTTACCTCCTGAGAAGCATAGCGCTATTGTCACGCTCCCGAGGGGCTGCAATTCCAGGTGTTGCTCTGCTCGGCAGGAGAAACAGCCTTAACAATAGCTGAAGTTTTGATCTCCAAGTCTTGCTACTCAGGATTTGGATTTTCTTTGTGCATATGTAATGAAGTAGCAACTGCAACAAAGAGGAGGGTGAAAGGAGCCAAAGGGAGAAGGAAGACTGAAGGGCCGAGTATTATTGTCCAAAAGGAGGGCTTTTTATACTGAACCACTGAATGCTTTTGTACTGTCAAATTTGGATTCTGTTACAGTGCCATGCGTGTTCTGAGTACCAGATGAAATCCTGGCTCCACTAAGTTGCTTCGCTTCCCACTGACCTTACAGGCTGTTGGTCTGTTGTGTGTGCAGCTGGGGTAAGGATGGAGCCTGCAGTGAGTGTTCTGCTCTCTACTGTCTCCTCCTCCCCCCGGGAGGTTAAAGGCCTATAACTAAGCATTAAAATTAGACTTGTATCTGCTGGTCCCTTCCAGTCCAGCACTTGGTGAGACCAGGATTTCACCCGAGAATTCGCTGTTCTCTCCTTTACCCCACAAATACACAACCATGGAGTTGTGATTTTGTATATATAAATGCACCTTGCTTGCTTTTCTGCCTAGGAAATTCAGTAGGTAAAGAAAATTGGAATTTTCAAAAAGTATGTAATCTCTTTGGAGCACAAAAAGAGTGAGCACTACAGTACTTTCTTCAAGAAACACTGCTACTATTTTTGAAACATTTTGTATCAGAATATATTTCTGTTTCCCAGTGCAATGCTGCTTTTTGTTTTCTAAGTTTAGACTTAAATGAATTTATTGCTCAGCTTTTGTATGAAGATTAGACTTCTTAGTTCTCTTTGCATATTATTGGAAAGATAATTGTATTTTATACACAAGATTGCTTGAAAAATAAATCTGAAAACCTGTGTTTCATTGTCATGTCATCTTTACAGTCTAATGAGATGTATAGGAATGAGATTTGTTTTTTTTACATAGATAGTTATATTGAAAGGGTGTCTACACAGGGACTTCTCTATGTACATGAAATACCTTTCTATGCTTCTTGCGTACTCACAAGAGAAGACTCTTCAAGGATTGTTTAAGCATCCATATCTAACACCCATATATATATTTATATACATATATATGTGTAGCTATACCTAGACATCATCTTCAGCTATAGGTTTCAGAGATGCAAATTTTTAGCACAGTTTGGGCTTGGGCACAAGGACAATTGCTTAAGTGAAAAGCTACAGAACAGTAGATGTGTGCTGTCGGCCTGGGCCCCAGGAAGAGATGAAAGCTTGGTGTCTCGCTGCCTACCTTGGCTTGAGGGCCTTGCTTGGCTGCATATGTGGTTTGGTTTCTGCAATCACTGCCTGGGCTGAAAGGCTCCTAAACGGTTTGTTCACATCAGGCTGCAAGGAACAGACTGTCACTGTGTGTCCCTTATTTATTCACTTTGGAGTTTATCCTAGTGCCAGCTCTCCATGACAGATAAGATCCCAGTTTCTTTCTGAGGTGGAGGTGCTTGAGCCCCATTACACTCAGACTGTCTTCCTTGCCTCAGTGTTTCACAGTCTCAGCCCCAGATATTCCTGTAGACAAGAATCACATCCCTGTCAAGGACTGGAGCCCAAAGGTGTGACTGATAGATAAAGGGCATGCACTCATAGCACAATAGCTGTTTTAAGGGGAAAAAAATCTGGGGTACCATGGTTGTGATTAGGCTGGAAAACTAATGGGGAGGGGGGGGGAGAAATTTAGCTTTGAGTGTCCAGCAGAATTTTTGAAGGCAAATGAGACCATCTCAAATACACTGTGACTGATTACAGGGTCACAGGCTGTGACTTTGCTAAAACAAGGAAATGAGTTCAGTAAACCAGAAGGTGGAGGGGGTTTCCCCCCTGCTTTTTTGGTTCTAAAAAGAAAAGAATGCAATTGGGAACAGAAGGGAATCAAGGGAAATGTGGCTGAATGTCCTGCGAGACTTCTCTTCCCTCTTGTCCCTTTGAAAGTAAAGTCCCTAATCCACCAAAGCACAAACCTGTGAAACAGAAACTGACGGTCAGACCTTAGCCTTGCTGCAGGCAAGTAGTGAAAACCAAGACTAGGATGCCTCAGACTTATGGTAGTAGGTCCCTGTTCCTGTTTTTAATCCCAACAAGACAACATGGCCTCTCTCCTCCCCATCCCTGCTTTGCCTATGCTTCAGAATGAGTAGAGAAATGGGTTTAACTTTTTGCTAAACTCATCTTGAAGTAAGCATTTACCACAAAAAAATTCAACACATCTGAAATAGCACGTTATCCTAGGATGTTGGGACGAACTGTGCCGGGTAAAGCATTGTGATAAAACATTGCTAACTAGCTGAGTCAACTGATCTTCAAAGGCCATACTAAGGTCTTTAACCAATCTGCTCTTGTACTGATAGCTATGAGTTTGTGTGACTTCTAGTCATCATTTATTGCTGACTTTTGCCAAGCTTTTCCGTAGGTACTAAATCACACCACAGTTGCTAAAAAGTTGATGATGCTAGTAAATTACTTATTTTCCTTTTTTTTTTTTTGATCCTTTACTCACCTGATTTCTTAGGAGGAAGCTCACTAATCAAGTCTTCCTTGGCACACATGCCTTACAGCTTTGTAAAAAAATAAAATCTTAACTGACATTGTTTATTAATATCCTACTTCTTGCAGGAGATATACATAACATCTTTTCCACACTTGACCCAGTTTGAAAAGGCAGGCTATATGTCTTTTGAGTCTGTAGCTTGGATTACAAGAAAAAAATTAATTAGAATATGGCCTTTGTCTGCGAGAGGAACTGACACGCATTTATTAAAATCTGTAATCCATCACGGTTGAAGATTATAGAAGATTTCTTATGATTCTTATTTTTTTTCTAGATCACAACCAATATGTGTGAGTAAAGAGATTATCCTAAGCACTTATGTTTTAAATAACTTGTCAGCATGCTAAGATGATGAATGTGATTACAAACATCTCTGGAAGAAACCTTGAACGACAGCTGATTTCTTGGATTATCATTTTAAAATGTCTGCAAAACATTTAGGTTGAAAAGAACAGTTATATCAAGATGGGATTTTAGAAAGGAGGATTCCTTTTACGCTTTTGGTCCACTATGAAAAACATAGTAGAATTAATTGGCCTAAAAAAGACTTTGTATTTACAATTATATGAAACACTAACTACATTAATAGAAGCTATCAAAATAAAAAGCATGAAGCTGTATGAGGCTGCAAGCCAGTTTTCCTAAAGAAAAAGCTGGAGAATTAACACGAGAAGTTAACACATAAGTAACACAGTTTCTTATGTGTGCTAATGTGGTGAAGAGCAGAAGTAAATGGTAAGAAGATGATGGAATACAGTTTGCAAATAGCTGTTAGATCACAATTAACCTCTCTTGTACAGGAACCCCTAGAGATTAAGAAAGGAAAAATTGTGTCTATGTTTTTGGAACAAGACAGGGGCATTATACATCACTGTCCTCGTTAGCCTAGATGTGCAAGCGGAGGGTGTTGGTCAACCTGAGTGCTTTAGAGGAAGTAGTGAGGAACCCCCAGGCCACCTGGAAAAGGAAGATATTCCCTTCCTCAAAGAGCAATCGTTACACACTTTTGTGTACACCAACGTCATGCCCAAAAGCTGTGAAGAAAGTATATGTGTAATCCAACAGTGTTTTAAAAATGAGTATCATTTGGGACAATGAGCCCATTCTGTACATTTGTAACTCATCACCCCCAAAATAACACAAGTATAATAATAATAAAAAATCTAGATCCTATTCTCCAAAGGCATTTAACTTGGCTAGGGCTACATCTTAAATTCCTTGCATTTATAAGGCTTATCTCAGTCCTGTTCTTCCTGGACTTCAGAATTAGCAAATATGCAGGTATGACAAGGACACCAGCAAAGAATAAAAAAAAAAAAGTGGAACCAGAATAAAGATGTCCCGGCTTAGGAAAGTAGGTTCCTTCATTTCTGAATTACGCAATGAACTAGTTACAGCTATGAACTAAAGTGGCAGGTGCTAGTATCTGCGGGCACATGGCTGCACCCCTGGCCTGAGGCCGTGCTGCCTGCACAGATGCTGAGAAACTGCTGGGCACAAGAGGGGAAATGGCTGAACAGCCCAAGAGTGAGCAGCCGACAGACGTTAGGAAGAGTGCCAGGAAGCCTGGCTGCATTCCACGGGCGGTTCATGGGCAGCTGTGTGAGGGAAGGCCAAATTCTGGTGGAGATCTTTTGAAAGAAAAGCTTGCAAGGCCAGAAGTACCAAGGTAACTGTGTTGATAATGCCATGTACGGCTGAGGTGATGTAAGTGGCAGCATCAGAGGTTTCACATTTGAGTATGGCTGTAACAAAACTACAGTCCACAAAGAAAAGGTACTTAGGTTGTTTATCTCCAAAGAGTCAGAGAGACCAG